TTTTTTCCCCTCCCCTCCTTGCAATTCCTGAGGAGGCAAAGGGGGAGGAGAAAAGGCACGGAGCTCGGAAAGAGTGGAGAAAGTGCCTAGGAAAAACGGAGAGCCGCGTATTAAAAGCAGAAGACCTCAACGGGGGACGTTGGCCGTTTCTTGACCCCCCCTTTTTTTTAATTCTCCACTTCTTGCGGAAGAACATCGTGGCGGACGAAGAGAACTGTCCGAAAGGTTCGCAGCGCCTTGGTGACCTTTGAATAAGTCTAATAAACGGGGTGTCCTCATACGGAGCATGGATTTTTTTTTGGTTTTGGATGGCCCACCTACTTACTTTTTTCAAAAACGGTTTTAATTCGCCTGCTTGATGCTGGAAAAACAAACAAACACCCCACTAAAACTTATTTTCAGAGGCAAAAAGCAACGCGGTCTTGTGGCACCTTGGAAGATTAATCCAGATATTATGGCACGGGCTTGCAAATTGTAGGCGTGCTTTGAATCAGTGCATGAATCCCTAATCCACGCCGGATCAGGTTGCTGGGACTTCTGCACTGGTGTGTTTGGCGCTGTGCTGGGCCGGGGGGATCACTTTACTAACCCTTTTCCAAGGATCCCGCTGAGATGCACTGGGGACATCCTGACAGGCTGACTTGGGACGGAGCTGCAAATCAGAGCTGTCATAAACAGACCGTGCAATGTAGAGATGATAGGAATTTGCTCTGTGTTCTCTTAAGCCGTCCACTTTTGTTCCCCAGCCCAGCATAAATTGCCCTGAACAGGAGGAATTTGTTTTTCTTGCAGCTGAAGCTTTCACAATTCATCTTGAAACTAAGAGTCCCTTCACAGCTTTCGCACGAGTGTTGCCAAGGTGGAGAAACACTGGTCTAGACCCAGAGCTGAAGAGGCAAGTGGTCCCCAATGCCTCCTCCAACCCAGCAAGGTGGCAGTACCTCCCCCACGGCTAAACAAGGCCCTATGTGATTAAGACTTGGACGGGACACTATCAGGAAATCCCAGTGTTGCAGTGGCCAGAGAAGTCAAAAGAACATCCAGGATAGAAGTAATAAGAAACCACCGATCTGTGGTGGTTGAGAAAGCAACATGGGTGTATTTAGAAAGTTGCCAGGATTCCATCTCAGCTTGAAGGAAATTGCTGGAAGGACTCCTCAGTTTGCCACCTCCGTCCCATGTTGAGGAAGAGCAAAGGGATGTGGCTCTTCCTCTTTGCGGCTAACAAGTGGTGGGGTGGGTAGTAGAAGGTGGGTGGGAGAACATTGCTCAGAAATGTTCTGGGATTGGGTTACCTTTCTAGGGTGGTGGCTGAACATGTCTATCTCCAGTTCCAGCCGAAAGGGGATGTCTCCTGAGATACTCTTACAGTCCACGTCCAAGACTTTACGCATCTTCAGTTCTGAGTTATCCCAGATCTATGCTTCGAGCTAAATGAAAAACGATCTTGCGCTACATCGGAGTCCAGACCCACTCCCTGATCTTTGGAGTCCTGACAACACCAAATTTGGGATGACCTGGAAAGCCTGCCCCAATTCGTCAGCTAAATTATCACGCTGATTAAAAGATTTAAAATGAAACGAAAAGAACAGTTTAAAGACAATTAGAAATACAGGCAGAGCAGAACAGCAAAGCAAGGCAAGTTTCAGCAGAGATGATTAAACCTAGCTGAAATAACTTTTTAGAAACCACAAGTAAAAAATTGCTTTTTTCTGACATTAAAAAAAAAAAAAAACTAATAGAAATAGCAGCTGTAGAAGCTATAGGTGGGTTCAGATCTGGTTGCAAGGTTGAATCCAGGTATCACGTGCACCAGGAGGGTAGATCACATTATGGGAGAGCTTAAGCACCATCTCCTGATTTCATCCATTTCTTCATGTAGAAGAAGGTGGGAAATGGAGGTGTTCATGGGGGGAGGAGGTGTCAAAAAAGATGGCTGCCAGAACCACATGATCTTCAGAATCACCTGCACAAAAAGGGGACAAGGCTTTGATAACAGAGTGGTGGCCACCATTTTACTTTTTCGATTATCTCCCATGGATGCCCCTGGTGGCAGGGAATGGAGCATTTTGTGAAGTCTTCCTAGCCAGAATGATTGATCTGCTGTGCTGGAATAATGTTCCCAGCCTAGAGTTTCCTCACCCCTCTTCCAATAACCCGTGCTTCAGCCAGAAAGAAGTTTGCAGTTACACAGGTCACATCACAAGAACAAGCGATGGGATTTTTCTGCCCCTCTCACCTGTATCTTGGAGGGACAGATAACAATGATCATGCTGGCGTGGCAGTATCCAGACATTTATTTGGGGGGAAAGAGCCACATTTCTTGTAACTCTTGGGAGCACCCTAGATCACTGCTCGTGCTGAAATGCTCTTTCTGATTTGGGAGGACACTTCCCATGTCACAGGGCCTTGGAGGGAAGCACAATTTAAAGAGGCCCTCTCTAGATCCAACAGAACTTTGTGGATAGGACTTTCTGTGCCTTAAAGATGATCGCAGTTCTTCTGAGCAATTCTCATTGCTCTTTTCCGAATGCACTGGACTTTTTTCATGTGTATGATGGTTTGACGACCTAGGGAAGGCAGCAGGATTACTTAGCCCTGGCTTTATCCGATCCAGCTGAATTCAGACACCCTTCTTTCTTCATGCACTGCATGTTCTTTTAATGCTGAAAGCTTTCCAGGGTATTACAGACTGACATATGTAAGCTGCAGCAGTTCTGAAATTAAAAATAATCATAATTTGCTCTGCTGTGTAATGGCATTCCCTTTTATTATAAAATTGGAAAATGACAATGGTTAATATGGAGCCAGACAATCCTTTGGCCTGGACACACTGTCTACAAGAAAGACTACAAATCTTGGGTTTGTGGGGCCAAGTGGTATTTCCAGACTGCACTTCCCAAGGGATTTGCTTCTGGAAATCTTAGTCCACAACTACCTTTGAAGAGTTAATGACAAGTGATAAACTCAGGTTAATTTGCAATGCAATTCAACATTTGGCAGACAGTTGGAGCCAAGGAACTGTTAAAGTAATTGTCTTACTAACGGCACTAGGGTGTGACAATTGGAGTATAAACCAGAAAAGTAGACATGTCAGAGATATAATCCCCCTTTAGTCTCTGGCACCACAAAGATACACAGAAATTATGCTTCTCCCCATCCTGAGCTATTAAGATCACAATTCTTGTTACATGGATTTGAGAGTCAGTTGCATTAAACTACTAGTATTTTGTTCTGAATAAACAGGATAAAGTTAGGCTGTATCCCCTTTACTTTGGAAACATTATCTATTTGGGTATCTCACATCTCACAATGTGAGCTGTTATGCATTTAACATCTCACGTTGTGGTAATGCCATTATTCGGCCGAGTGAAGGTTAACCAGACTGTATGCAAGCGTTTATGTTTCCAAGAAACATTAATCAGTTAGGATGGTTAAAAATCCAGGGTGCATCACGGGTTACTGTGCTTAAAAGACTCCTTCTCTAGGGTTAGCGTGAACAGACACCACCAGGAAACATATTCCCATCTAAATTCTGTGGAGGACAGATGGAGCCCCATTACGGGACGCAATTCAGATATTGTTAAGCTACATTCATTTCAATGGGGACTCCATGTTAAAACTAGTACCAGGCAGATAAGTTGTCCTTTTTTCCCCACTCCTATTCGTTCTGATCCAGTTTGAAAGGAGAAAAGGATCTGATGAAATTCTCACAGGTAGAGTGTGTTGCTCTTATACTTATAAAGTTACAAGTAGGTCAAGAAGTTCCCATCAATGATGGGCAGTCCTGGTGCAATCCCCATGGTGCAGTCACTTCTCCCTGGCCTTCCATTCCTATGTGTGGTTGCACAGA